TGCAGAAAAGCTCAAACAGTGATTAGAAGAAACTTTATTGTTTTTTGAATATTTTTACTGATGAGGAAAAAATAAAAGTTACTGATTAGTTCAAAAAAGTAACTTTAATTTAGCTAACTGAAGAAGAAAAATCTTATAAATGAAAGAGAAATTATAGAAAACAAAGTTGAAAGAACTAAAATAATTAAACAAAAATTAGGTTTTCTGTCATGGGGGGGGAGAATCGGGGGTTGGTATCTGGAGAGATGTCTCAGTGACTAAGGACACTGGCTGCTCTTGTAGAGGTTCTGGATTTGATTCCCAGCACCCACAGAGTTTCACAAACATCTGTAACTCAAGTCCCAGGGGATCTGACATGCTCTTCTGACCTACAGGGGCATCAAACATGCAAGTAGAGCATACACATATATGCAGGCAAAAAACCACCCATACATTTAAAATAATAAAATAAATAAATCTAAATTTAAAAAAATTAGCTGACTAAACTGCTAGCCACTAATCATGAAAAAAAGGACAAACACAAATATACAAAAATAAAAAGTAGGGGAAATGACAAATAAAAAGTTTGAGGTGGTAAGAACTGTTCTATAAAATTCTATACATTAAATAAAATATTGATAAAATAATTATTTTATAGTAAGTAAATGTGACTTATGAATGTAATCAGAGACAGCCTCGACACTAATATTTTTAATTAATTAGTTAATTAAAAATTATTTGCTTTCATTTTTATGTGTACTGTATTTTGTCTGTGTGAGGGTGCCAGATCTCATGGAACTGAAGTTACGAACGAGTTGAGAGCTGCCATGAGGGTGCCGAAAATTGAACCTGGATCCTCTGGAAGAAGAGGCAATGCTCTTAACCACTGAGCTATCTCTACAGCCCTTAACATATATTCTTGATCAAAGTACTTATGAAAATTGGGCAATGCTCCTTAACAACAACACATAACAAATGTCCCTAACATAATAATAGTAAAAACATGCATATGTTCATAATACTTAATAGAGAAACCTTGGAAACCTTTCCCCTAAAATGAGGAATAAAGAGGATAATCATTGATGTTTGTTACTATCCTACCTAAACTAGGCAACATAATCTGACAAGAATAAAAGGAGAGGCAAAACTGTTACTATGTACAGACCATATAACTGTAACATAGAAACATCAAGAAAATCACTTGAAAAAAATACTATAAAAGTATGGAATTTAATAAGGCAGATCTTCCAAAGGTCCTGAGTTCAATTCCCGGCAACCACATGGTGGCTCACAACCATCTGTATGAGGTCTGGTGCCCTCTTCTGGCCTGCAGACATACACACAGACAGAATATTGTATACATAATAAATAAATAAATATTTATATAAAAAAAAGATTACATAGACTGAATGTGAGGAAAGCCTTAGTTTCCTGAAGTAACAAGACAGAAGTAGATAGTATGGTTTTGGATTCAAGGCAAGACTCCACACCTTACAGAAGCCAATTTGTTTTAATTTAACTGATGAAATAATAAGATCTTAGCTAAAATACTCTGTCTTCTTACACACTGGGTGAGGACACAGAATTTCGAAAGGCTATAGCATAAAACAAGTAAGAATGGTTTTGAAAACATGACAGTAGCCTTATCATACATTACAAGTCAAGAATGTGTGTGTGTGTGCGTGTGTGTGCGCACCAACAAGCAAACTTCATGTATCAAAACAGAAATCAATGAAAACAAAATAACTGCCCACCCTTTCAAAGACTGAAAGACAAATAACAATTATAAACCTTGGTCACAAAAGCTTCTTTGGGCAGAGGGCAGCAGCGAATACACTCTTCACTAGTGGAAGTGCTGACCTAAGTGACTGAGAGCTCAGCCCCAAAAGGGACATCTGTGTCAACTTCCCCAACCCAAAGCTCAAGAACTATCACAGAAGAGGGGAGGGAGAGGAGAGAATCCTACGAGCTGCAGGATGGGAAGGCACGCTGCGAATGCTGCCTTTTGGATGTGACATGGCCATGGTACTCACAGTAACAGTGTTACCGTCAGTCAAAACTTCAATACGGGTGGGAGAGGCTCAGGAAACTTATGAAGCCCCACCCTAGCGGAGGAGTTAATAGCAGCTGAAAGCTGCTGGAAGTGGAACAGTGATCTCTCTCTGGGTCATGTGTGGCTCCAGAGAATGGCCCAAGTCCTTGCAAACAGTGGCAGCACTAACTGAAAATAGTAGGCTAGTTTAAAAAAAAAAAGGCATGAAGATGGGATGGGAATGGAGTGTCAGGGAAATTAGAGGTGGGGAAAAAAGGAGTGGATACAGTCAAAATACATTTTATTTTTTTAAAATAACTTATATTTATTTATTATATATACAGTGTTCCATCTGCATGTTTGCCTGTATGCCAAAAGAGGGCATCAGATCTCACTAGAGATGGTTGTGAGCCACCATGTGGTTGCTGGGAATTGAACTCACAATCTCTAGAAGAGCAGTTAATACTCATAATCTCAAAAAAAAAATACTCATAATCTCTAAGACATCTCACCAGCCCCAAAATACATTTTATATAAGTATGAAATTCTCAAACATAAAATAGATTTAAAACAAGAAAAGAAAAATGCATAAGCCAAAAGTTTGGTAAGGTGTATGACTAGCAAAACCAAGGCCCTGGGCTCTGTCCTTAGTAGCTAAAAAGAACAATAAATGTAAAAGTAAGAAAGAATGAATCACAAGTGGCCCTCGTATTAGTTAAGAACTGTTTGCTTAGTTTTAAGTCAGGCACAGCTAGGAGTTCATACCTATAATCCTACAGCTAGGAGGCTGAGACTGGAGTACAAAGGCAGATTGGACCACACAGTGAGCTTTAGGCCAGGCTGAGTCACACATAAGCACTTCTTTCCAAAAATGCAAAACAAAGCAAAAAACCACTTAAAACAGCAAATTTGACTGGGAAAAATCTAGGAGTTCGACGGCACATGTATAAGGAGACAAGTATTCTGACTAGTAGATTGATGTGGGAGTGTCATATATCAATCTGTTGATTTCATTGGCTGAGTAATAAAGAAACTGCTGGCCCTGATAGGTTATAAGATAGGTGGGCGGAATAAACAGGATAGGATGCTGGGCGGAAGAGGAAGTGAGGTCAGACTCTGCTCTGCTCCCAGAGAGACGCCATGCTCAGCTCTCCTGGGTAGACGCAACGATGGATGGAGGCTAGAATCTTCCCGGTAAGCACACCTTGGGGTGCTTACACACATCATTAGAAATGGGCTAGTCCAGGTGCGAGAATTAGCCTGTAAGGGCTAGAGTTCATGGGCAAAGCAGTTCTTTAAATGAATACAGTTTGTGTGTTGTTATTTCGGGCATGAGCTAGCCTAGCGGCCGGGGTGTTGGGGACGCAGCCCCGCCGCCGCTTCATATTTCAACAAGTAGATGAAAAACACTTAAAACCTTTATGGAGGGGAATCTAGAAATATTGATCAAAATTATAAATAACATTTATCCTTGACTTACTAGTCTCATCTCCAGAAATTTATCTTACACATACACTAAATATATGTAAAGTAATATTTGCATATAACAAGAAATTAAAAATTAATTAAAATACCCATAATACACATATAAAGGGAACTGGCTAAATATTATCTCTCATTAGTTTTACAATGGCAAAAACTAGGAAAAGATGAGGAAACTGTGTTATCTGTAAAGATCCACATGGAGGGAGGGCTAACTCCAGCTACTAAGCAAGAAATATGATGAACCTGGACTATATGGCTGTGCCATATGAAAAACATCAAATGAGAATGAGAAAAGTTACCAGCTGGTAATTCCTAGTGCAATAAATGACTTGGGAGCAATGAGCAATGAATACATCAGTAACTACCAAGTTTGACTGGGGTTTATAAAGGCTACACCTCTAAATTCACTGTTTGTTCCAAATGGGGCATAATATAAAACACAATACATACACGTGTGTGTATATACATATACACACATGTATATACATATATACACATACACACACACATATATCTCACTTTCTACACAAAGTGAATTAAACTTCCAGGGATACCTTATTATCAGAAAATATAGGAGATAGAGAAACAAGTCCTAAGAAAACAAAAGACAAACATAGATTTGGGGATATTCTATAATAATACAGTTTCAATAAGAAGTTTCAGTAAGAAGATAATGAAATTTTAAAAAGAAGAAAAGAAGATGGGAAGGAATGTGATGTGTAAATCTTGTTTACATTCTGATTGGAATCAATTAAGCAGAAAAAGACATATTTGGGACCATCAAAGAAATATAATCTTGGACTGGGAATTGGAGAATATTAATTTTTTTAAATTTTCTTACATAAAAAATGATATTGCTAATGAATAAGAAAACATCCCAGTTTTTAGTGGTGTATGTAGCAGGGACAAAGTAACATGCCGTTCTGGAATGGGACCTAAAATATTTGCAGAGAGGAGGAAATATTGACAGATTAACAAAGGTAAAAGAAAAAACTCTGACAAAATGAATAATGGCTACATACATACGGCGTTCAACATGCTGTTCTTTTACTTATGTATCAGCTTGAGAGCATTTGAAGGAAAGCACTTAAAAATGAAACTAGTCAGTAATGCTTTAAGAACACAGGAACACTTACTTGGCTACGGCCACTATGACCAACACATTTCTCTTAACATATGAATTTTACAATTAAATGCTGACTTAAGAGTGAAGAGAATACAAGTAAATTATTGGTAAGATAAAATTCTCAAATGATCACATCAGGGTTTTTACACGTTTTCATGTGCCTGTTTCAAGTTTAGCATGATTCTCAGACAGGTTCTGCATGAAGGATTTACAAATGAAAAATAATAAAAATATTAAGGTTTTATTAGGCTGTCATAATACATACATGTCCAAGTATTACTTTAAGACATCAGTAACACAACTGTATAAATAAAAACACACATGCATGCCATATAGAAATTGACTACCCAATTTATAATATGGTTTTAGTTCCCTTACCATCAATATTTAGCATCATTTTCCACATGGCAGGCCGAACAGATTGATGGAATCCAAACCATACTTCCCTGCCCCCTCCCAGAGGGTGGTCATATCCTTCTGGAGCTGAGAAAAAGGAACGCCCCACAGGTGTATATCTACAAAAATTAAAATGGCATGTTCAATCCTTTCCTTCTAATACTAATACTTAAATCAGCAGGACAGAGGACACGAAAGCAAAGACAATTAACTTATGATACTTACAAATACACACGAAAGCAAAAGGCTATTCTAAATGAAGAAATTCATCAGCATCCTTCTCTGAAATTGTCTATTTTCAGAATCTGTTAGTTTACAAAGCAATATATTTTATTATTATTATTTTTAAGACAGCATTTCACTGTATAGCTCTGGGCAGCCTACAGCTCACTACATTAAACCAGGATGACCTTGAACTCACAGAGAGCTGCCTGCCTCTACCTCCCAAATCTTGGATTAAAGGTGTATGCTACCTCACTTGGTCCTTAAAATACTTTCTTAAAAACAAGAGCATTGCAACTTTAAAATGTTAAAGAGTAAGCAATTTCTACAAATGTTTCCAGATAGCTATACTAATTGTTTCAAAGCTACTTGACATATGCAGTACAGGAAGGAATATGGAAAGCTAGTGTGGTTTTAAACTGCAGTATCCCTCTCTCCCTTTTTTCCATGCAGGAGCCTGAATGCAGGACCTCAAGTATGCTGGGTAAAGACTCCAGCCTGAATTCTATCTCCTGCCCAAGAATAGCAATTTCAACACAATCTGATACTATGTATAAAATATGCAACCTTTTTAAAACAAGGTGATTTGAGTTCATAGAATATCTGAAATATCAGTTATTCAAGACTTAGAGGTCCTAAGATAAATGGTTAGGAATATCTCTGTAGAATAATTCACTAGATTAGCTAAGCTAATGATGTATATTTTACTTGCTATTGTACAAATGAAATAATGAAAAGCATGGACATACAAAGGTTAACTGAGAAAGGCTTCTACTACTCACTCTAAGGAGGAAAGAAGCCAGAACCACCTACTTCATGGAGGGCAGATGTCGTAGCACCACGTCAACGGCATGGACCGGGTTAGTGCTGATTGGCTTGTCTAATTCCAGTGGCTCAGGCAAAGTCCGTCCCGTCAGCACTTCATGTAGCAGGTGCCAACTCACCCGGGATACAAATTTGACTGACACCTTGAAAGGTCGATCTTTGCCACCTTCCCCAGGTAATGTAACATCTAAATCTACCTGTTGATGGGACAAGACCCAAGTGTAAATGTTGAAAAAGACAGATTTAATTATTTAAAATTTAACTTATAAAAAGATAACAAGCAAAAATAAAAAATCTTAATGTCAAATTAATAGATTAAAATTCAAAAACATAGTTTATTCATGGCAATATTATTCATCATTCTAAAACACTGGAACCTACTTAAATACACTAACATTTAGGCAGCTATAAGAAAAAAAGGAAGAAGAGTTAGGTGCTAGTGATGCACGCCTTTAATCTCAGCACTCGGGAGGCAGAGGCAAGCGGATCTCTATGAGTTCGAGGTCTACAAGAGCTAGTTACAGGACCAGCTAGCTCCAAGGCTACAGAGAAACCCTGTCTTGAAAAACAAAAACAAAAAACAAAAGCAACAAAAAAAGTGAGATTAAGATGATATCAGTACGACACAAGTTAAAAAAAAAAACAAAAAACAAACAAACAAAAACACTTCCCCTTTGATACTAACTACAAAGAGAAAAAGAATCTTAGAAGGAAAAGGCAGAAATCAACTTAACCAAGTATTGAAGTTACCATCACCATTAATGGAACAAATATATATTATGTATCTCTGGGTAAATGGCACTGATGAAAGAAGAACACTTCTGCAATGTTCTGGCTAAATTATACATAAACAAAATGTACCGGGGGGGGGGGGAGGAGATGACAAACACAATTCAGGAGCAGTCTAAAAATAACTTGCCTATGGTCTTCAATCATGTTAACATCATAAAAGAAAAGAAAAAGGCAAGATAATTGTTCTACAATAAAGACCAAAGTCATGTGATGTTTATTAGCATAATCCTGGACTGAATTCTTTATTAGAGGAAGGGAAGACACTAGAGAACATAATGAAAACAATGGGAAAAACTAGAATATAGATTGTTGATTAGACAAAAGTATTATGCCAATAATAAATTTAATTAAATTGGCAAATATACTATAGTTTTTAATCTTTATTTTTAGGAAATAATACATATTAAAATGTTATTAATGGGGCATAATGTACATAACCCAACTATGAACGGGCTAGGAAAAAGTATGTATGTATTTTTGTTTCATGAAAGAGCCAAAAGAGAGTAAGAAAAAATTCTAAAATCAGAGCAGCAAATTGTTAAGGACATTGGCGAATCTGAGTAAAGTGTATGTGACTTTTCTACATTGTTCTTTAGGTTTTTCTGTAAACCTGAAATTATTTCAACAGAGGTTGAAAAATGATCACATTAGTATGGGTTATAATTTAAAACGGTAGTAGATCATTTAAAGGGAGATATAGGGGTTGGGGAGTGATGTGGGATGTCCTTGTGTATTCTGTGATATTGGTTGATGAATAAAACTGCTTTGGCCTATGGCAGTGCAGAATATAGAGAGGTGGGAAATCCAAGCAGAGATACAGGAAAAAAGAAGGCAGAGTTAAGAGGAGATGCCAACAATCACCAGAGGAGTAAGATACCAGAGCAATATGGGTAAGCCACAGGGCATGTGACAATACACAGATTATCAGAAATGGGTTAATTTATATGTAGAGCTAGCCAGTAAGAAGCCTAAGCAATTGGCTTCTTGGTAGCCACATCTTTTCAGATAGACTTTGCTTGTTGATGGCAAGAAGATGCATGGCGTCTTTAAGAGATGGCTTCCTGGTTCGTGCTAGCAGCACAGATGGCTCTCTCAGGAGAGCACTTGAATGAGGTTTGTGGGCAGCGTGCTACAACTTGGTGGCTGTGTGGAACCACTGCTTCCCACAGCTGGGGTGTTAAACATGACTCCCAGAGCTGGTGGTAAACATACCTCTGCCATGTTGGAAAGCTGAGTGGGGTGAAGCCAGCAGCCAAATCTGCTGCTTTGGTCCTAGCCATGCCCACATAACAATTTAAAATTATCACACACACAAAAAAAAGATTACAGATATACAATAAAGACAGAATCAGACAAAAAGAAAGCTCTAAACAGTCACAGTGTGTTTTTAAAAAAATGTATGTAGGCTTGGAAGAGAGAGAGAGAAAAAAAAGAGTATAGGCAGTTACAGAAAAAAATACTTTAAAAAATCCTCAAAGAGACAGTAAAATAATATAAAAAATAAGATGCACAGGGCTGGAGAGATGGCTCAGTGGTTAAGAGCATTGCCTGCTCTTCCAAAGGTCCTGAGTTCAAATTCCCGGCAACCACATGGTGGCTCACAACCATCTGTAATGAGATCTGGTGCCTTCTTCTGGCCTGCAGACATACACACAGACAGAATACTGTATACATAATAAATAAATATAAAAAAAAATAAGATGCACAAAGATGGAAAATACACAGAGAGCCTGGATTATGTATTTTACTGTGTTTTTAAAAATTTTTTGACTGTTAATGAGCTATATGCTAAAAAACAATTGATTATAGGGGCTACTAAGTTAAAGCAACATATATATATTTAATCTTAAAATTTTTTTTATTTTTCCATTCAAAAATTTACACTTCCTCCCCTCCTCCCATTCCCCCCCTGTTCTCCCACTCCCCCTCCTCCCTCCCCCTCCCTCCTTAAGAGAGGGCAGGGAACCCTGCCCTGTGGGAAGTCCAAGGCCCTCCCCCCTCCATCCAGGTCTAGGAAGGTGTGCATCTAAATGAGTCTAAGGATATGTTGCTTTGAAAAAAGGTTCTGTTTTTGTTTCCACAGAAGATAAAAAGCTGTGGATTCCTTACAGGCTAATATGGTTTGATTAAGCAAGATCCCTGGAAAGGTCTCCAATGGCAATGATGACCCAGGTGACCCAACATCCACAACAGCTTCAAGACTACCAGCTGAGATGGACAAACCACACAAAATATCCCAGGCAGGGCTTGATCATAATCCTAAATTTTCTCAGGATCCCCATAAGATTGCCAGTGCCTCCCATCAGCAGGAAGTAGTATAGAAAACTATGCCCAAATTCCCAAAATATTGTTTACGAATGTTTGTTTTCATTTAAAGGGGGTTGGTTATAAACGGTTAATGGTCATAGTCAATCTCTTTCTAAAGAAAAAAAGGAGATATGATATAGAAATGATAAAAAGGTAGATTATTAATTCTACTTTAATCCAAAAAACAACAGGTCTGCTCCTGGCAGCGCCAATTACTTCAAGAGCATGATGGGCATCAAAGAAGCTCCTTATGGAGTTTGCTTTCAATGTGGTGAGGCTAGCCATTTGGGCAAGAAACTGCTCTTGCTTGGACTGCTTGACAAAATGCTGTATAAACTGGACATGCAGGACCCACAGAATAATGGCTGCTGAACTTGCCAAAACAAGGTTTGGACAGTCCTTTAGGGTTCCTGCTTCACAGAAGAAACTGACAGTCATTCTACAGGACACAGAGAAAAGTGGCTGACAAACTGCAAATATAGGCAGGACGCTCTTTCAAATTTCTTGCTTCACTGAAAAGTCTACCAGATACTATAGGCCTGCAGGTGACTGTCCAGGCAGCCAGATGTTTCTGTCATTTCTAGAATTTTGGAAGTTCCTTACAATGAATTTCCTGCTTGTTCAGGGACTATTATATCCTTCTGGGGTCTCTGATAGAGTCGAAGACTAAATAGTTATACTTTTCCTTAGTTATAATAAAAGATAAATTAGATATGAAATTTTAGAGTCACAAAGATAGGATAGAGTATTTTATTTAATTTTGTTAATTATAAATAGACTAAATATTGTAACTGTAATTCTTACCTGATAACCATTTTGTTTTATGTAATTTTAAATTGTTAAAGTTAAAATCTTCCTTTTTAACTATAGAAAAAGGCAAATGATGTGAGATGTCCTTCTGTACACTGCAAATATGTTTTGTTTTTATTGGTATTAAGTAAAGCTGCTTTGGCCTATGGCAAGGCAGAATATAGCTAGGCAGGAAATCCAAGCAGAGATATAGGGAGAAGGAAGGCTGAGTCGAGAGAAGATGCCAGCAGCAGCCACAGAAGCAAGACATGTAGAAAATAAGGTAATGCCACAGCCATGTGGCAATACATAGATTAATAGAAATGGATTAATTTAAATGTAAGACCTAGCTAGGAATAAGCCTGAGTCATCAGCCAAACAATCATAGTTAATTTATAGCCTCTGAGGAATTATTTTATAAGCAGCTGCAGGACTGGGTGGGGACAACAAAATAGCTTCTGGATACAGGGAGATGGCTCAGTGGTTAAGAGCACTTGTTCTTGCAGAGGACCCAGAACTGGTCCCCAGCACCCACATGGCTGCACACAATTAGCTATAACTCTAATTTTAGGGGATCTGACACCCTTTTCTGGCCTCCTCAGACACTGCACAAACATGATGCATAGGCATACTGAAAGACTTTGAGACACCTTAGCACTACTGCACCCCCCATCCTGGGAACCAGGCCTCTAGCATTAGGAGGCACCTTAGCACTACTGCACCCCCCTTCCTGGGAACCAGGTCCCTAGTAACCAGCCACGCGTGCACGGGAGCTTTGAGTACTTTCCATCCCCATTGTAGTCTTTCTCCAATAGACCCGGACCCTGGAACTGGGGTGAGACGACCTGCAGGTGTTCCTCCTTGTAACCGCCATAACATTGATCAAGTAGAGTTAGCTGACCATTGTATGAACTAGTCAAAACAGTTGACAAATGATTTTTGGACTTTCCCTTTGATTCTGTACTACCCCCTCCCTGAATTTGTGGTTTTTTCCTTTAAAAGAGCTTGTAATAGACAAAGCAGGGTCCTTCTCCTCTCGAGGCTGAGGGACCTCTGCCGTGGCAGAATAAAAATTCCTCTTGCTATTGCATCAACCGTGCTGTGAGTGTCTCTTGGGGCGACCTCCTCCTTGGTGGGGCTTTAGGGCCCAACAT